AAGAGAAATGTGGTAGTTTTCAAATGCCACGTAATGCTCCAGGGAAACCAAAATTTCAAATAGAATATCATTTTAAAGAAGGACTTCGACGGAAAGTGCATGAATTCTTCTTTAGACAAGAATTTCCAACATTGGATAAAGTGCTTGTCTCAGTTCGAGATGATAAGGATTACACAGAAATGAGTCGAAGTACGTTATGGAAACTTTTAAAAGAAATAGGCTTCCGCTGGAAAAAGAATCCCAGAAAGTCTATTTTATTAGAAAGAAGCGATATTGTCATATGGAGAAGACATTTTCTAAGAACCATAAAGGAAATGAGAAACCAAAAAAGAAAAATATTTTATCTTGATGAAACATGGATCAACGAGGGTCATACACTAAATAAATTTTGGCAGGATGAAACTGGGTCAAGTCAAAGGCACGCTTTTGTAAATAACTTATCTACTGGTTTAAACCCACCATCAGTAAAGGGACGCAGGCTGATAATAGTACACATTGGCAGTTCAGACGGTTTTGTTGAAGGTGGTTTATTAACTTTTGAATCAACTCGTACCGGTGACTACCATGAAGACATGAACGCTGATGTCTTTCAAGAATGGTTCGAACAAATGATAGATCTTCTTCCTTAGAACTGTGTAATAGTAATGGATAATGCAAGTTATCACTCCAGACTTATAGAAGGACTGCTTACAACCAAGTGGTTAAGAAAAGACTTGCAGAATTGGCTGAGTTCAAAAATATTACGTACCATCCCGGATCTATAAGAAAGGAACTTTATTCGTTTTGTGCCCTTCATAAAGAAAAATTTAAAAAATACGAAATTGATGAAATTGCCAAAAATCGTGGAATGACAGTACTTAGATCCCCACCATATCATTGTGAATTAAACCCGATTGAACTGGTATGGGCACAGATAAAGAGTGAAGTTTCAAGAAAAAATACCACTTTTAAAATTCATGATGTTAAACAGTTGTTTTTGGAGGCCGTAAATAATGTAAAACCCGAAAACTGGGAAAAGGCAGTAAATCACACTATTAATGATTTGGATTTGTAACAAGTAGCTGTAAGTTTAATCTTGATCAAATCAATTAATCTTGAGCACGCCCATGGAGTGGTCAAAGGTACCAGTTAAAATTATGCTAATTACTCTCTCTTTCATAAAAATAAACTATAGTAATAGCGATGTAGACAGCTCTCTATCATTTGTTCGTTTCTTTGCTGGTTGCAATCCAATAGCCAAAAAACTTTCTCTCCATACACCATAAATTGTTCTTTCGGAAATACCTGTTTTTTAAGATATCTGTTTAATTATCGTTAAAACTAAATGGTTTCCTTTGTTTTTTTTTGTAATTCACCGGATTCATCAGCATCCCCGTTTTCCCAAACGTGAATTGTCTGTCCTTGCGAATGTTTCACAAGATTCTCCATGGCAAAAATAACACAATGACAATTGTAAAATAACAATTTAATAGCGTACACTAATAAATATGGACTAACAATTTTCTAAACAGGATCTCTTTAAAATTTAATTTTCTGGCCGAGAATAGTCTCACCAAGAATTTTCTGACCGTGAATATTTTCGAGAATAGTCTCTTGAGAATATTCTCTTCTTATATCACTACCTATGCTGCTCCTACTGCAAAGTGACTACGAAACGCCGTTTTTTGACGAGAGAGAGTAATGCTCATAAGTAGACTTCGGCAAATATGCATATTGCATATTTTGCATATTGTGCATATTTTATGCAAATATTTCATATTTTGGCATATTTGTATAAAAGTTTGCATAAAGTGCATAAAAGTTAAGATTTTTATACTGTATTTGAAAATTTTTATAAAACATACCAATTTATTTCAATTCTTGTATAAAATTTTGTAGTCATTTACAATTTCAAAGAAGATCAATTTAAGTAGCCCTCAACATTCTTAGAAAGTCTCGGTCACTGAGGCATTCAGTTATTGGATAATCGCTAAGGGTTCGCTCATTTGCATTTTATGATCTAATCCCCAAATCTATCTACAATTTATTGTATCTTAACAGCAGGTAAACGGCTAATAGTTTTGTTCCTAATTTAGGGATTTTCCAAAATCTCCCAGTTTATTGAATTAGGTACCTAAACATTTCTAATTTGATGCTCAGATTTGTAAATCATTTTTGTTTTGATATTCAAAGCGTAAACACTCGTTGTGCGTAACAAAAAGGAAGATTGTGATTTTATAATGCCTAAAACAACCAGTGCTTCAACTTGGATTAAACCTTATAAAGAGCTGTCTATGGATATGGGAAAAATCTACTGTTCAGTCTGTGGCAAAATTGTAATTTATCTAATATTTCATACATACAGGGTGTTTCCAAATGACACTTACAACGTTTGACTGTAGATACTTCTCGAAAAATTGAACAAAACGATATAGTTAATGAGGGGTCAAACTTATTTACTTTTCGAGATACAGGGTGTTAAAATTAAAAAAAATTAAATTCTTTTAGTTAATAACAACAATAACTTTAAAACCAATAAACGTATATACTTGAAATTTAGTGCTCGTAGGTTGTTTTTAAATGAAAAATAGCTTCTTTTAGTGAGAAAAAATTGTCCATAGTACAATACAATGGTGTGTATTTAGAAAAATTTTTCACCTTTACTTTTTTTTATGAAGTCAGCTATTCTAAAACACAATTATTTTTATTGTAATTAAATTAACAAAAAAAAACTTTCGTTGAATTTTAAAATAAGTTATATGATGTACTAATGGTTAGTAACAAAAACTAATTTGTGGATTAATACTGCATTTAAAACACTTAGCGAGTGTTTTTTTTCCAAACCAGTTATTTGATTAACCAAAAACACCTTTTTTATATTATTGTCCTTATTTTATATTTTAAAGGTTGAGTTAAAATAAAGGTTTTTATTTTTATTTATAGATAGCATGTGAGAAGAAATTTCAAATAGACCAACATGTGACCACTGCTTCACACATTGCAAAAAAAGGAAAAATAGGAGGAAAACATCAAACTTCAATGGCTAAATGTTTCCAATCTATTTCAAAAAAAATTAGATAAGCAAGAAACTTTTAATGAAGACTTGTGTCGCGCATTAGTGTCTGCAAACATACCGCTTTCAAAATTAGCAAATGTAAATTTTAGTTCGTTTCTAAAAAAATATTGCAAACTTAATGTTCCAAGTGATCGGTCTCTAAGAAGAAATAATGTGAACGGACTATACTCGTCGGTGTTAATTAATATTAAGGAAGAAATTGCAGATAATTATTTTACATATCTGTAGACGAAACCACTGATTCCTCAGGAAAGTATATTGCTCATTTATTGATTGGTGTTCTTAAAGAAGATACCTTACCAAAATCTTATCTTATTTCATGCCAGCAACTTGAGAAAACAAATGCTTTAACAATTTCGCGTTTTATACAAGAAACATTAGCAACTTTTTTTCTTCCGACAACTATTCCTTCTAATAAATTACTGCTTATTTTATCGGATGCTGCTCCTTATATGGTGAAAACAGGGCAAAATTTAAAAATATTTTTCCTACATTTAATACATGTTACTTGTGCAGCGCATGGATTAAACAGAGTTGCAGAGGAAATACGAAAAAAGTTTCCTCTTGTAAATACCATGATATCCAGTGTCAAAAAAGTATTTCTTAAATCTCCTATAAGAATTCAACTTTATAAAGAAATGCTATCTAACATTCCTCTTCCACCACAACCTATTTTAACGCGATGGGGAACATGGTTAGAAGCAGATAATATTTATGCAGATCATTTTGTTAAAATAGTCGGTCAGATAGCTCAGCGGGCTGTGCGGCTGCCTCTCATTCGCTTCACTGTCGAATGGTTCAGTGGATGTGGGATCGAGCCCCAGCTCGGTGTACAGAAAACAAAAAGTCTAACGCAGCAGTTTAAAATTCTAGATGAATGGTGGAGCAGTACGGCAAGAGATAAGGGCTTGCGGCTCGGTGATACTCCTCCATAGATCCCTACCGGACGGGCGTAACGCCTAAAAAACCGGATATATATATATTTTGTTAAAATAAAGAACATAATTGATACGTTAACAGATGAAAGTTCCCAATCTCTCTTGGATTCTAACCAAACTTTTCAGAGTAACTTGCTTCAACAAGAACTTTCATTTATAAAATCAAATTTTAGTTTTGTTCAAAAAACAATTACTCAGTTAGAATAACCAAAACTGTCATTGTTCGAAAGTACAGCATTAATAAAAGAATTTGCGTCATGTTGTCGGAACGTTAGAGGTAATATTGGAAAAGATATTTTAAAAAAATTTGAAGCTACTATGGAAAAAAATAAAGGTTACCATATTCTTTCTGAAGTAGTCAGTGTTCTAGCTGGAAATATTTCGGAAACAATTAATTTAGAACCAAATGTTTTGGTTAGTTTGAAAAATGCTCCCGTTACATCGGTTGATGTTGAACAAAGTTTTTTCATATATAAATATATGTACTCAGACAGAAGCCACAAGTTTTTGTTAGAAAATTTTGAATACCACTTGGTCATTTATTGTTACCATAATTCTAAATAAGTTTATTCATACTTAAAAATGATGTAGTTACTTAAAATAAATGTAATGATTAATGAATGATTAATGAATAGTAGGAAATATTTCGTTATGTACATTTTTTTTTTAAATAAAATTGTTACTATTTTACGATTTTTTTATTTATTTGTATGCATATTTTGTAAAATATTTGCATATTTTCGGGTAAACACGTGCATATTTATGCGCATATTTTCTACATTTTTATTTGCATATTTGCCGAAGTCTACTCATAAGAAACATCCTAAAACAAGATGGACAAGATCATTTGAGGACAACCATCGAAGAAAATATGGGCACATCTGTGTTTAAAAATTGACAGAATACGCACTTATATAAAAAAATACACATAATTTTTATCTGATGTAGATTTTTGTTTAATTATATGATTTTTTTTTAAATAAAATATAATATAATTAGTAACTTACTTTTTAATACCTTCCAACAACGATGCAATCCGTCCAATCGCATTCTGAACACCCTGCGTTACTTCTTGAATCGCCTGCAAGCGTTCTTTCAGACTTTTCTTTTCTTCTTTCTCTTTGTCTTCTTCGTCGTCGTCTTCTCCATCTGAATCCTGCGATTCATCCCAAGGAACTTGTAAAGGTCCTGATAAAGATCGTACTATATACTGTTTTAAGAATACCAAGAGAACTAATATCGGAAACATCCATGGCTGGAAATAGTAGCAAAGTATAACCCAAACTACCAATGCCGCAAAACTTTGTAGTTTTGACTCCCATTCAAAACAATTTCTAAAATGTTAAATAAGATTTACAGCACATTTACAAACAATTAACTAGAAAAACAATATATTATAGGACATGCGATGTAGTTGGGAAGAAAAAATATTTTGTTTTCAATATGCAGGGAAAAAATAAAAATTAAAAAAATTGGTTTAACATTATTGAAAGAACTTGCATATAGATACAAATATGTATTCAAGAAACATCTGATTACTTACTGAAAAAGCTTGCCGACTTCTAAGAAATACATAACAAATACTTTTAGCCTTAGAACATTTTTTACAAAAACTTGCCGCTTAAACTTTACTTCAGTTTGCATATATTTCTCCTCCCTTGGATTTAAAGTTCTTATACATGCTCTAATAGGATTCCACTGAATTATCATTTCCAGAAGAATTTGTGGTCCATTCCCTTTCGCCCTCGTTCGTAGTTTTTTATCCTTTAGAGCAAACCACCTTTTTTCTCCATTTCGTATTCGTAGGAGAGGAATTGCAATCTTTCCTGAAAATGAGTAATTACCATTAATATATAATTTTAACTGGGTTCATATATAGTATATAGAGTGTGTTCCAACGAAAATTTGACCCCGTAAAAACTCAGATATCAACAGTTTCTTGAAAATTTAAAAAACACGTCAATTTTTATTTGGAGAGAGACGAATTTTAATGCAAAATGTATGCCCTTAAATTTTGAATTTCCCTAACATAATATAAATATTCGCGGAGATGAGTGGCCAAATATTGTACTAGAAGCAGAGCAGTTTGACCAAGATATATCTAAACACACGTGGAAAACCATTGCTAACCATCAGTGGATTCTTCATTTAACCAATGGACTAGTCACTATATTCATTGTTATGTTGATTTTCATTATATGGAAGGTATGAATTTTAGTTTTATAGTTGACGCCTCAATTTCTGATTTCGATATTTGAGGATTTTTGACGTGACTTCGTTTTTAGAGAATAATATTTCGCAATATTGTTTCCAAAAGTCTGCGATACCGTCTGGGTTTCTTATGGCATTTCCACTATTATCTTTGATTATGTCTGCAGTTAGAATTCCCACTAGAAACTTGACTTTTGAGAAAAGTTATCTCTAGATAACATTCTTGGCGGTAAGCATATTTCTCTAGTTATACACATATGTTTTTAATATAATTATTTGTGTTTCTTCCGCACAAGTGTTTTATAGTTGTATTTATGACGCATATCTCTATTTCTTTTTGTTATGAATTTTATGTGCCGTTTATGTTTTTGTTTTGATTTTGATTATTCAATCAGTTACTGCAAGGTATTCATGTACATATTTTGCCCAACGTTTTTGAATTAATATTGCTACGCCTTTTTGTCGTGATTTGTTAGCTCCTGACATGAAAACTTTGTAGTAAGGGGCCTCCCAATCTCCTTGGCCTTCCTAGTGTGTCTCATATATCCCACAGATATCTTTAATATATGCAATTTACTTGCCTGTAGCGGTATCCCATTTCGCAGATATTAGCTGGTCGTCCACAATTATCTGTCCGCTAAAAGAGCCACTTGCCCCAAAATGGAAGTAAAAAGAGGATAAGGGGACAAGACACATCCTTGTTATGTAAAAATTTAAAACATGTACAGCAATGAAGTGGAAAAACAACAATAGAACTCATTAGGACTGCTGCAAACGAGTAAAATGGGTCTTGATGATTGTCAATGACCTTAAAGGGGAAGGCATACTCAAAAGAAAATAAATACGCCGTCCTGATATTAAAATATACAAAAAGGCTAGATATTGGTTTTTATTTGGTGCACATTGTACTTCCTAAGCGGATAACAGTTTCCTAGTTGAAAATTAAAATATTAATAAAACGTGTATTAATGTTTTAGCTTAACGATTTATTGAATCAGATTATTTTTATTAACTTTCTACTAGTTTAATGAAATATAACACCCCTTTTATGATATAACATTTAGTACCGCGAAATTTAAGTATGCTATTGCGTATTTTATTAGCGCGATCAAAACGCAAACTGCACTGCTTTATGAGATACTTTTTTTATTACTATAGACTCCTTAACTTTTGCCATAAAATTCAATTCACCCATAATGTAACTAAATTCCCCATTAACGTTGTATAAGCTGTCACAAAAAGATCCCAACTTTATGATTTAGCAAGGCGCATCAAGATTTTATGGGTCGGTCTTTAACGTTCAATATTAAGTCTGTAACCAATAAATAAAGAAAAAAAGTTTAGCCAAGAGCACTTATTGTTCAGAAGGTGACGCAAATTTCTGGTATAAGAAACTAGTGTATATAGTACAGGATATTACAGATTTTATTATAAGGGTCAACCATAAGACTCATCATTGAATACCGTGTTTCAAAGGCAGAGATTATTTAGGCAAAATTCAAAGGCAGAGACTTGAAAAATTGAAAAACCACAGTATGGTAAACATATGTATCAGTAATGAAACACAGTATCAATTCAACAAAAATTGATTTCATTTTACAAAATAGAAACACTTTTCATGAGTCACCAAATCATTCCATTGAATTATATAAGACCTCATGAATTTTGTTTCTTTGGTGGTACCATATAAAATTGAATTTAATGTAACAAACAAAATACTAGAGAAACATAAAAACCATTTTAGTAGCCATGTATAGCAAATATCTGACAAAAATATTTAAAGTGTTTTCGACACAATTAACAGAGCTGCTATTATTAGAAAACTTTAAAAAAGTTACTAAAAGACATAGACCTAAAACTCACTACTCCGTTTACTACGTCCAAAATTCCCAAGTGGACCAAAAAGCTACCTACTGTTCTTACCAGCTTGAACCGATAGAAAAAAGAAGAAATGCCCAGAACTGTCTTGCTACAAGCATTTGAGGAACTTATACAAACCCAGCGTTATGACAAAATTCTCTACACAGATGCCTCCAAAGAAGAAAAGGCCATCGGTTGTGCTGTCAGTAACTCAAACACAAAGGTAGCGTCCCATTGGCTTTCTCCCAGATGCAGTATACACACAGCCGAACTGTATGGAATACTCAAGGCATTAAACTCGCCCATTGTTAATGAGAACCGACTCTCTCTCTCCGCCATTGACTCAATCAGAAATATATACTCCATACATCCCATTGTACAGTGCATTCACAGCATCTGCCAACAACTGTGCCATGTTGGTATACATGGAAATGAGAACGCTGATCATGCAGCAAAACTGGCCTGCTTCTTAGGAAATATGGAAAACACACAACTTCACAAAGACTTAAAGGCCAGTATCAAAAACAACCTACTAAGCACTTGGCAAACATATTGGAACATGCAAAACACAAAACTAAGCACAATTCAACCAACTGTTACCTCCACCACCACGCCTCAAATGAGTAGAAAAGACAATATCATTATCAGTAGGCTCAGAATAGGTTACATTCGTTTTACTCATGGATATCTGATGTCTTCTGAAAACTATCGTCGCTGTGAACATTGTAATTAGTCTTTAACAGTCCAGCACATATTATTAGAATGCGTCCACTACAAACCTCAAAGACACTACTACAATTTTCAAAATAATTTAAGAGATCTACTAGGTTCTACAAACATGTACAGTGCAATAATTCGTTTTCTAAAAGACTGTCACCTTTACTACTTAGTGTAATTATATTAGATGTTGTTAATGTATCCTAACTTGTATATAAACAGATTGTATATGTATGTAAACATAAACATATTGTAATCAATTTTGTACCAGTGTCAATGGCCCATAGTTGCCGAGACACTTTAATTTAAAATAAAAGAAATATATTTCTTACCTAAAAATTCTACTTTGTGGTCTCGGTCTTCGTCGAATACAGTAATCTCTAGAACATTATTGATATCCTTGACGTTGAACGTGAAAATTTTATTCCATGACGGCGTTAGCGTTTTATATTCAGTTTGGGTTTGAAGTCGGGCGTTTCCCAATTCTAATACACAGAAAGGATCACTTTTTCCACCAAGATCCGCGGAAGCCAAACCTTGTGCTTTGAATACTTTTACGGTGAGGTGACCGACGTCCTTGATATTGTGAAAAGTCCTGTGCCATGCCTATATATTAGGATAATTCAAAAGAATTGTTAAAAGATTTTATGAATTATAGGCCAGTACACTAGAAAAAAAATTACTTACGTATCTATCGACTAGATTTTGCTTTTCTCTAGGATTATCTTCGTAAGTGGTTAAGTCAGATATTGTCTCGGATGCGGTAGTACCACTGATTGTAAGGAGTAAATGTAATGATCCAGCTCCCTCCTCTAATTCTTGCCAAATACTGTGCGTCTTTTCGCGTTCAAAATTGGTTAAATCAATAACGCACCTGAAATATTATGAAATTTTTTTGCATATATAAACATATTAATATAAACTTTAAACGTAAAATACAAAATTCAAAGCATGAGTATGACAATTTTCATAGCCGATTAAATAAGTTATTAATATAACACTAGCGGGTTGCATAGTCTGGGGGAGTATTAAAAAAAATTCTATTTATTTTTTAATAATCAATCATTAAGTAAATTAGTATTTTCAATAATTTTTAAGAGAATTTTCTGGAAGGGGGGCCTACGGGGGCTCATGATACGAGTAGACAAAACAAGTCTGCTGCGAATGGCAACGCCTACAGCACTCTGTCTGTGGCAGCCTTGTGGGTCATTACTGGATGTGTTCCGCTGAATCTGTCATCATCATCATTCTGGCTTTATAACTCTGCGTGGGCCGAGTCCCCTCAAGAATGTCTCTCCAGTCAACCCTATCCATCGCCTTCCTCCGCCAAACACGTTTTCCCATATTTCTTATGTCTTCGTCGATGTTATCAAGGAACCTTGCCAGATTAAACAGTATACAGAAGAGAGGAACGTCTTTGCTTACCCCGTTATTTGTTTTAAAAGGTTTAGACAGTTCCCCCTTAACTCGTACACTACATTTAACTTTTTCAAGAATTAGTTTTGTTAAATTTACCAACTGATTTGGTATTCCTAGCGTTCCGTCTTCTTATTATTAAGTTTCATTCCATATTATCTACTGATGTTAACTGCTTGATCTATCAGTCTTTGGAATCCTTCAGCACTATCCGCAACAAGGACAGTGTTGTCTGCATATCTTAGATTATTTGTTACTTCACCGTTAACAATCACGCCATCATTCGTTTCTCCCAAAGTTTCTCGAAATAGATATTCAAAGTACGCAATAAACAGCAAAGGCGAGAGTATGCAACCTTGTCGTACTTCTCTTTGTATTGGGACTTCATCGGATAATTGATTGTCTACTCGAATCTTGGCTACTTGTTTTCTATAGATATTGGCTATTATTCTTATATTCTTGTCATCGATGTTTGCGATTCGCAAAGTTTCAATAAGCCTCTCATGCTGTACTTTGTCAAATTCCTTTCTGAAGTCAATAAAACAGGCAAAGACATCTGTATTAACATCTTTTGCTCATTGTATCAATACTTGTATGCTAAAAAGTGCTTCTCTTGTGCCAAGACCGCTGCGAAATCCAAATTGTACATCAGCAATACCCTCCTGCAATTTCTTATATATGCGAGCATGGATGATGTTTAAGATGTTTAAGTAATGAGCGTTAATGCCTGATGAATTGTCGATTTACCACCTTTGAAATGATCCTGGTATTTTCGTAATATCTGTTCTGCATATGCTGCCATACGGTGACAAAGTACTGTGGAAAATATTTTATACGCTGCATTTAGAAACGCATTTTCTCTGTGGTTAAAGCTTCAAAAGATATATTCTTTTTTTGTGTATGGTGCAAAATATTCCAATATTCCAATCATTGGGAAGGGATTTCTGTGCCATATTTCTTTTATAAGCTGCTGTAACGCCATTATGGTATCATGGCCTTTTTTATATAGTTCAGCTTTGAAATTATCTATTCCGGGTGATTTGTTTCTGGCTAGCTTTTTAACTGCATCTTTAACTTCAAGAATCGTTGGTGGTTCATCTTTTCTCTCATCTGTTCTCCTTACCTCTTCTCTTTCGTCTTCCAGGTTTTCTTCTTCTTCCTCTATATTAAGTGCTATTTAATACATCTGTCTCGTTGCATCTGTTGGCAGTGAAAAAAAGGACTATCTGAGAGAAGGAACCTAGACCTTACTATGGTCGAGAGAAAACAGAAAAGAAAAAGGTCAATTAAATAATGGCAAGAAGAATGGAGCAGCACGCAGGATGTGGCACAGTATACAATGACGCTGATCCTACACCTAAGAGATTGGGTAGACTGTGGTCACAAGTGACTGGATTAGTTCCTAACGCAGCTGCTCACAGGACACGGGAGTTTTATGGTCTACCTCTTTGGGTTCAAAAAGGCTGATACGGATGAATGCCTATACTGCGGATACTCAGACAATGTGACACCTACGATATTAGAATGCAACAGATGAATAGTAGAAAGGAACAGAATAGAAAGAGAGACAGATGTGCATTTTGTTACAGTGAGAGAAATAATTTAGAGAATAATAGAAAATAAAGCAGATTAGACTAGTGTACAAAACTTTATCCATGTAGTGAGAAGAAAGAAGAATAAGAAAGACAGTTAGACCAACGACAAAGGTTGGAGGGAAAGATTTTTTCAGCTGAAATGGGAGGAAATACGTTTTGTTAGGAGGCGAACAAATGAGTTAAAATGTGTGAGTCAGACTGTGAGAAAGGAGGAAATACCCTGATGGGAGTGATGCTGTGTGAAGATTGATGGGGGTCTTTTACACGCAACGCTACCTGAAACAGAATTTCTCTCAAAAAAAGCTCAATTTTTGGAATTAAAAAAGGGAGAAACAGAAAAAAGGGACAGGAAACAATCTTACTGACATTATGTGGAAAAATGAAACTAATTCTTCGGAAGAGGTGCTCGGTCTTGCAGCGGCTATTTAATAGACGGCGTAGACTCGACGAAGAGAAGACGTTTTAAAGTACCTCAGGAACTATCGACGGGTTTGCGAATAAGATTCTGCACTAAGATCAGTCAGACGGCATTCTGGACTGAGATATTCTTTCAAGATTTTAGACTCTCTCTATAAAGACAAAGAAAAAATACATAAAAAAGAGGAAAATAGAACATGATCAAAAAGAGTTAAAACAAGAATATCTCTTATTGGGATATAGTATTGATGTAATCCAACAAAAATACTTATGAAGTAACGAAATTGAAAAGTCTCTGATCAAGACCACAATATTGAAATTAATTTTAGTTTGAAGTTTAGAAATAATATAAATTTATAGAAAATAAGTTTAAAAAAATTATTTTTATTTTGTTATATTAATATTTTTAAAAATTATACTAGCATTTAATAGCTCAGTAATAAATTAAAATAATAAACTTGAAAGATTATTACCTTCCTATAAAGTCATCTCTAGCCCTGTCCTTATCCCATACTGTAATTTCTAACTGTTGGTCTCCATCATCGTATAAATGCAGATCTAGCTGTTCTAACCATCTTGGATTTAATGATCTCCATACGACACGACTTTTGTACTTTTCATTTCCCAATCTGAAATTAAATAAAGCTATAAATTTATTTAAATAGTGAAAAACAGTTATTTTTAGAGGTATAGAAATGTAAGTTGGTAACACTGTTTTAACTGTCTGTCATTTTTAAAACTGTTAAGAGATTTATGTTAAGTTGGGTTTGGCATTTCAGCATGAATCGACTTGACGCCTGAACAACGCTTTCAAATTGTAGAAATTTATTTTGAAAATTGTAGTTCTATTCGAAATACATATCGCGCACTAGGTCCATTTTATGGTCAACATAATAGTCCATCAGACCAAGTAATTTAGTTAACCTTGGAACAGTTTTGCACCACGTTTACTCTAACTGGTAATATGCACGACAGACACGTCGTACATAGTCTACAGAAGTTGTTGCTGCTGTAGAATGTAGCATACAGGAAAACCCGAATCATTCAATTTGCCGTGCAGAGCAGTTGAATACGTGTCCATCTACATTATGGAAGATTTTGCGGAAAGATTTGCGTGCTTAGAATTGAAGATATATTATCACCTAGCAAGGCATAGGGTCGTAGATTCCATGAGTGGGTCCAAAACGAGATTGCCGTTAATTACAATTTGCATAAGTGAATTTTGTTTGGCGATAAAGGTCACTTTTGTTTATATGAATACGTCAACAAACAAATCTACCCTATTTGGAGTTGGGATAATCCTCAGATTTAAGTTGAGAAGCCATTACATACGTCAATCAAAAAACGCCTGGAAAAAAATTTCACACAGGTTGGAGCTGATAAAGAAAAACAAGTACATCAATGCAAATTACATTGTTTTTGAAAGAAAAAGTTCGGTGACAATGCCACATCTGTATAGGCCCGTTTTCACGCTACGTCTTATTGTACGTTTTGTTGGATAGGACAAATCCTATACAATAAAACGTGGCGTGTAAACAGTAAAACGTACGTCTTGTCGGAAGGAAACACATAGTGTGTATACACTGGACAAAACGTACGTTTTGTCGTACGTTTTATATGACCAACAAAACGTACAATAAGACGTAGCGTGAAAACGGGCCTTATGGAGCATCTTATTTAAAACTAGTTAAAAACCAGTTTGTACGACGATGAATTGTAACATAAAAGTATGTATCTAGCTTAAATTTTATTCACCTCTTCATTTCAATGATAACATCAATATACTTAAATTTTTTTTGGCCTTATGTTCCAGACCTATTTAGCCAACCGACTGATTTGCTAAGGGAAAAACAGTTTAACATTTTTACACTTTTTTTACATTTTATCTCTCATCATTCACCCGATTTTCTGACCTTTCAATTTGAGAACAATATTGATGATTATACAAACAGGATAAAACACAGTCACACGCTATTCAATATGGTCCTCGTACGACTGCTTAAATAGAACAGAAAAACAACGTTTTGCAACAGAGTAATTTTTTATTTGGAGATGGTTTCAAATAAAAAATTTGTGGCACTGTCGCCTACCTTCTATTTGTTAGAATTGTAACGAAAGTATTTTGCCTACCACAGGGGGCATTAATATAAGGGGTAGAAAATTGGGGGAAGAAACTAAGGGGGTGGAGATAAGGCAAGTAAAATAATCGCTACTTATGCGAACGGCACTCAGGGTTTCGTAGGAGAGCTGGGGTCATGGATAAGTAGAAGATAAGGGCATTGGAATGGGGCAACTACAAAAAAATGAAATAAAGGGCTCTTGGGATAAACAAAATAAAAATAAACAAGAAACACCTCAAGGAATTTAATATAGGGCGCCACTTGAGGTGCCTAATTATACCTATTACAACCACTGGTTGTAACTAGGGAAATAATTAAAAAAAAAAATTTAAAACATAAAAAACATATCTTTTTCAAATAAGAATCAAAAAAGGTTTAGCTCAAAAAAATAAATAAAAAGTTAAGGCAACAAAATTTAACCTTTATTTATGTGTCACCACAAACAGTTACATGGAGAAATACAAAATTCAAAAACTTACATGTGTCATCCATTAACAAACTCCATTGCTACAAAACTTACAAAATTGCATGGAGGTTAACCTTTTAAAACAAAACAAATCAACATCAAAAATACTAAAACGGGCTGTCATAAATTAACATTAAATTTAAAAAAAAACTAAACACAAATTGACAGCTTTACTCAAAACCTAAAATTTACAATTTTAAATGTCAACGAAAGTAATTATTATTTTATAAAAAAAATGTCTGTCTTTAGTTTTAAAATTTGAACAAAATGTTACCTTAATTCACATGACACACTTAACTTTCTGAAACCATAACTGGAACCTGGAACTGAGGGCTCCACTCTCTCTGCATCACGAAAACCTCCATCTCCAAACTGCCAAAAGCCTTGGATAGAAGCAGGAACAAAAAAAAACGAGGATGTCCTCCAATCCTCCGATACTGCTCCAATACTGCCACAAAACCAATAACAAACTGCTACATATTCTTCATAATAAAAGACGAAAACAGAACACTTTACAAATTCGACGTGAATTGGGACATAACGCTGAACCGCTTTTGCTCGCGATTCCAACGAGAGTGAAGAAATTCTATTAAAATTGAACGCATACATACAAACGCTGACATAACAAGACACCACGAAACGACGTACATATCCTTTTGCGACGCATTAAATTTGCGGCTTCCAATAACACAAGAATTTGCCGAGGAAGTTAAAATAAATAAACAACTCTAAAATGGTTTATTTCAACTTGGCCGACCTAAAAAAGAAATGAAAAGATATTTGGGTTTAAATACGAACGAAATATTTTTAGATCTATCAAAAATATATAAGGTGATTTTAATATTTCGTATACGAGGGGACTTCAATATACTTAAAAGAATCAATGAAATTGAAAATGCTACAGAATTTCAACACAGAGACAAGAGATTTTTATAACAAGCTGTTTTTTATTATTGAAATAGCATTTAAGAATTACTACTTTAATTAATTAATCAGCTTTATCTGATATTTTCTACATAAATTTAAGTATTATAAAATAAATTAATATGTGTGTGCTGATAAGGTATTCTTACCTAAATTTACAGTAAGGATCTGAAGTTGCCGTTTCTGGATCACAAGGTAAAAGATTCTTTCCTTCCACTAAAACTATCGTAACTACTGAACTCCATATTTGCGATTTAAGTCTTTTATTTACATCTTGTGTTCTACTGGTTTTTTGGAAGTACTGGAACAAAATATATCCATTATATTCCAGTTTCTAGAATATTTTATATAAAAATATCACATTAATAGGGAAGTAAAAACAATAGTAACGTTTCGAAATTCAAGTTGGATCAAAAATATATAAGCATCATAATATCCCATAAAATTTATTTTGAAAAAGGTGAAAGTAAGTTTAATACAATGTAAAAAACCTCAGAAACAAAACAATTAGTTTAATAGAAAATATTTTTTTAGAAATTGTGAATCAAGTTCTTCACAATAATGTTTTCACAATTCCACCTTAAAATTAAAGGAAATTGTTTTTTTTTCTTTCCTTTTCATGTTTTTATTAAAGGATTTTCTTGTCGATTTAGATTATAACTTACAGGAAACAAGTCCACGCACCAACGGAAGAAGCAAATGAAGACGACAAGTACGAATTTTATGAAATTTTAGAACAACAGTACACAACGACACCCATATACGAAGTCAAAATCATACTGGGAGACTTCAGTGCCAAACTAGGTAAAGAGGACCATCTTAGAGCGGTGATCGGTACATATAGCTTACATGATAACACTAATGATAACGGATCAACACTGGCAGAATTCGCTGTAGCCAATAATATGGTAGTAAAAACTACACAATTCCAAAGAAAAGATATACATAAAGTAACCTGGGTATCAAATAACGGAATCACATCAAACCAGATAGATCATGTGCTTATCGATGAAAGACATTGTAGCAATATCATTAGCGCATGCAGTCTGAGGTGAGCAGAAAGTGACTCTGACCCCTTCCTGGTCAAAACAAAAATGAGAACAAGGGTAAAGATGAGACATTCAAAGCAACGCCAACAAGGAAACAGATGGAACATTTTAAGGCTCGATTTACCTGATAATGAACGCCAATATCAGGCACTGATCCAAAACAAATTACAGACACTGGTAGAAGAAGAAACATCAACGCCAGAATTGACCATAGATCAAAAATGGCAAAATATAACGAACGCCATAGAAAGTGCCGCAGCGGAAACTATACGAAAAGAAAGGAATAACAAAAAGAAAAACCAGTGGTTTGACTAAGAGTGTGAACAAAGCTTGCATCAGAATGCAATCAAGAGGCTAGGGTTACTAACACGCCCTACAAAGAGAACAGGAAAAACTACAACAGAGTAAGGATTCAAACGAGAAGACTTTTAAGAAGAAAAAAGAAACAGTACCTAGAAGCACGAATACAGCAACTGAATGTGGAACATAGTACCGGTCAGTTTAGACAGTTTTATAAGGACCTAAAAACAATGAAGGGCAACACGAAAAACAACCCAAGATTTATAAAAGACGATGCAGTACAATTGCTCACAGACGATAAGGAAATAAGCTGCCATTGGAGAAAGTATTTTGAGCAACCCTTAAATGCAGAAAAACCCACAAAAACAGAGCAACAAAGACAGTAAAAGTTAGTCGAACCTGAAATACAGGGCCCACACTAGCTGAAGTTAAGTCCGCAATTTCGTCCCTAAAAAGCCATAAAACCCCAGGCCCAGACTTCATACAGGCGGAACTACTAAAAAAGGAGGAGAAAAGCTCCACCTTGAAATATATCATCTTATAAGAGAAGTATGGGAAAGAGAAGAAATAGCGAAACAATGGCATGAATGTCAAACTATGTTTTATCAACAGTTAAGTTACTATTAAGTAAAATGACGTTTCCAATAAAGTGCTACTTTAAAAATTTTGTATTTAGTAAAATAGCACATTATCAACAAAAACGCTGAATTCAATTTTATTTGTTGTAAATAATTGGATACATTTGATATATCAAAATTTCACATCGGATACCGCTATCCCGTAGGATATGTCAATAAATTAAATTATGCAGAGGCGATCAACTGACAAATTACCCCGAAAATCAATACGGACGGAAAGTGTGTCATGAGTAGATATAAAACCAGTTAACTAAAGCCTTGACATCTAGACCGTATAAATATTATATTGTTTTTTGATTTAAACTACTTGTTAATTACTGCATCCGTGTATTTCTATGTATACTAATAGCAGAATTGAAGAACAAAATATATTATATTAAAGCACAAAACAAGTAATTAGCAGAACAACAAAGAGTCTTTAAGTCTAAGCAATTTATACTTTTTAAAATCTCTATGCTACGTTGAAAATTTTGAACATTTCCAAAAAAATAAACTAAACATTGTTTCTCGTATTTTTTTCTCTCGTTTAACTTCTCGGTAGAATGCCAGTGCAAAATAGAAACTAGCATTAGCAATCTTTTTTACTATATAGATTAAAAATAGAAGTACATTACTATTACAATATTTAAGATTCTTTTAAGACTAACACAAAAATCGTTCTGAGTGTTAGTATTAAAGTTCAAATATTCACCATCTCACTCCCACCATTTCACACACCAAGCAATCAACAACCGAGAATAGCAGTATATTATGTTCCCAGAAAAATCAAAGCCTCCTCCATGGCGCAGTTTTGCACCTCAGGCCTCAGAACTAACTGCGGTTAAAGTGAAATGCCCATGGGGAAAAGGGCAAAAATTTAGAGTTGATACTAGCATTGGTCTACCTACCCTCAGATGCAGCCACCCTACCATTAACAAAGGAAATGAAAGATTTGGTCTCAGTCAGAAGTCAGAAGGTAGAATTTATTATTGGCTACGATTTGAACTCTCACCATTTAGGGTAAAATGGGCTATATTATTTTTCACCCCTTTTAAATCTCCAGAGCCTGACGGCATATACCTAGCCCTTCTACGGTGGGGACTGAATATCCTTCTGCCGCACCTCGTGTAAAATATGTCTCAGAGCCTCTTTGGATAAGGTATCGTTGGCATATCTATCTAATATTGTTGACGGTTACTCCATTCACAATAATACCTTCGGTTGTCTCCATTAAGGCTTCCTTAAACATTTCCTTCGAATATAAGTTAAAAAGTAAAGGCGACAATATACAGCCTTGTCTCACTCCTCTTTTTATATTTATTTCATCCGACAGTTCTTGTTCAACCTTTATTCTTGCCACTTGATGCCAATATAGATTTGTAATTATTTGTAGATCTTTATCGTCCAATCCAGCTGTTTCCCTAGCATTTTGTTATGTCGGACTTTGTCAAAAGCTTTTTCAAAATCGATTGCACAAATGTACACATTTTGATTTATATCTCTGCATCTCTTTACTAGCACCTGTATACTAAACAAGGCTTCTCTTGTAATGATACTTTATAAATAACAATTTTTATATTTAAATTATGAATAAAAAATCAATAACATACGTTAAACAAATGTATACATTTACGCTTTGTAAAGAAAATAAACAATGAAATTACAAAGGGAATTCTGAAAAATCTGAAATGCTTATAGTAAATTGCATGGACAATATAACCACCCTTTCATGCCATATAATTTTCTCAGTATAACTGTTACTTGCTTGCTAAATAATTTATGAATGAGTTACAAACGTTGCCCACAAATCAGATAATCGATACCCTTTAACTTATTATTTAACGTAATCTATTGTTACTGATAGATATAAAGAATGGACTGGCTAGTTTATAGTATACATCGTTAGTAGCAATTTTCGGAATTAAAACATTTGTTGAGGAAACAATGCAGTCCTTTTGTTGCTTTTTTTTTGCAAATTTTTTGGCTTACATTTCCCATGAATAGAACGTTTCACCCTTCTTGTACGCAAATCATTCATACTTCATTAACTTTCAAATATAGTTGTAATACAACCAGATATATTAAATTTACAAATGGTGCGGTAATAATATCGTCACCTCAATACTACAACTAGATAACTCGAAAATTTTCATTTTTGGGATAAGTTTACCAATAGATGTAAATATATCATCTTCATGTTATGCTACAACTAGATAATTCAAAACGAACCCTATGAGTCAATATAACTAACTTTCAAAAGTAGATAACTTTATAAGTCATCGTTTGTTTAATACTACAACTCAATATCTTAAGTTATCTACTTGTTGCACATTTATTGACTAAGCTGTTAGTCACACAACTATACAACTACACTTACCTAGTTGTAGCATGTAAGTAAGGTCACTTGAAAACTACGACCACCGAGTTGTCACCATTGACGAAGATTTTGTCCGTTAGATATTTTCATGAATAATTACTTATTTGTTTTCTGAAATCTGCGTAAAGAGAAACGTGCCAAAGGGGAAGCTTATGTTTCTTTAAGAAATAAAAGCATTCCTGAAGTATCAACGAAACCCGCTTGCCCCACCAACTGCCGAAATCAGTGTTCTAGTAAACTAACTGAATTGGACAGAACGAGAATTTTCCAAGGTTACTATGCACTGGCAAATTATAATAGACAACTGAATTTTAATCACAGTAATAGAGATAAAAATCCTAAAAAATGTACTACATCATTACAATCTAAACGAAACATTTCAGTAACATTTTTTCTCCCGAACAATAATGAAAGAATTAAAGTTTGTAAGACGATGTTTATCAATACACTAGGAATTAAGAAGGGAGTAGTTGATATTGCTATGAAAAAGCGAATATCTGAAAACACAACAGAGGATGATAATAGGGAAAAACACGTGAAAAAAGTAACTAATTTAACAGTTTTGGAAAGTCATCCTTAAATATTACTCTGATGTATAGACTTTATTATGAATTGTGTGATTCAAGAGCTAAAGAAAAAGTTAGTTTGGCCATGTATAGAAAAATTTTTAATGAAAATTTTAATCTAGGTTTCCATCATCCTAAAAAAGATAAGTGTCGTGTTTGTTCTCATTATATTAGTGCAACCATTGATGAGAAATCGTTACTTAAAATAGATTATGAAGCTTATCTCTTTTTTAAGGATAAAGCTAGAACCGAAAAACTTAAAGATCGAATTGATGCTAAATGTTCTAATATGTGAATCACACATATGTGCCAATTTTGATCTCCAGCAAATTTTATTAGTACCCTCTAATCCAACAAATAATGCACTCTTCTATAAACGTAGACTTGTTAACTACAACTTCACCATTTACAACGTTGTCAGTAAGCAAGGAGATTGTTTCATTTGAAATGAGACTCAAGGATCCCGAGGAAGTTGTGAAATAGCCAGTGCAATTTATCTTTATCTTAGATCACTTTCAAAAACAACAACCTGTCTCATCTTTTTAGTGACATATGTGGAGGCCAAAAACTTGAATCAGTTTACTGCAGCAATGTTAAATAATTTAAATAACCTGAAAGTCATTTATATGAAGTTCTTGGTTTCTGGGAAAAGTGAGATGGAATGTGATTCCATTCACTCTGCAATTAACACATAATTCAAACATGCGGGGAAAGCTTTGTGGCCTGAATATTGAAAGCAAATTGCTCAGAAGGCCAGAAGAAAGGTGAACAAACCTTATCTTGTTCATGATTTGGATCAATCGGACAAAATATTTTAAAAAAATTGTAGGGAATAACTTAACTATTCGGAAAAAGGATGAAGATGTGCTGGCAAAGATTTAGGAAGTCACAGCCGTTTATTATGGAGTTCAAAGTATTATTTTCTGATGAAGGTTTTAGACACTTAAATTAAATCAAACGGACCCGCACTTCAATTCAATCGCCTTTACAACCTTTGTATCAACAACTGGTTTCAATATCTATACAAAATTATAAAGATCTGATTTTCTGTGAAACCACCTGGTTTGCGAGATTCCTACAGGCCATTTTACACCAGTCTGCCATACAAGAATAAAGAAGATTCAAGTGAAATAGATGACGGTCAAGACTACGAAGGTGACCCTTAAAAAACTTCTCTATTTGTGCCTCCTCCGAAATTACAAATTGATTCATATCAATATTTATAAAGTAGTTTTTTGTAAATATTTTTTAAATATTAGTAGGTATCTACCTAATTTTTATTTTTTATGTGTAACAGTGTATAATTTTACCTTAAGAAATAAAACATAACTTCTAGTAGTTCTTTTTTTAACAAAAACAAGGGCCAATACAAGAACATATATATTGCAACAAGTACATAACTGGGATTTTGGTATATGCAACAACTAGATAACTGGGACTTTTCCAACTTTTCTCCTGATATTCCTAATCTTGGAAAATATATACATTATTAAATGTCATGGATGGTTAGTAAAGAAGGAAAGAATGTTAAAAACGGAATATGGATTTAATATTTTGTCAATTTTAGGCTACAGAGGAATTCAAACTTTGCAAAAATCTTTAAATGCGTTTTTCTCAGAAGTGTTATATTTGAGTTACCTAGTTGTAGTATTGAGGCGACGATATGAAATTAGAGATAAAAACCCATAAAGAATGAACTAAACATAACACCTATAATTCATTCAAAAAATAAATAGTACATTGTTTACCGGTAGGAAAAGCTTAACATTCCTGGACAACTGTGAAGATTGCTAAGTCGAGGCGCAAGCCGAGACTTAGCAACACAGAGTCCAGGAATGTGGCTTTTCCTACGAGGTAAACATACTATTTTTCCGCAAATCGTTTAAAATTCGACAGATATTGATTGATTTAAAAAAAACGCGATAATTTTATTCCCAAATAAATGGTGCTTTGAAATTCCTAATAAAATTACTTGGGTTACTATGGAAACGGATTGAGGTTGAATTGTCAAACTTGACGCTTATAAATTTAATTGCTGGTGTTCTCGAAAGTAAAATGATAAGTGATGATGAAATTTCCATTCCTGGGACTCCTCCAGAGCTGGTTGAGGCAGTGAATACTGCTTCATTAGAATTATTGCCAAAGAAATCAAGAGAAAAGTACGAAAATGCATACAGACGTTTTATGGATTATCGCATGAGTAAAAATACGAGTTCTTTCTCAGAAAATGTTGTAATGGCATACTTCCTAGACCTTTGTTTAAAGATGAAATCTTCAACATTCTGAGCCAATTATTCAATGCTGAAGTCAACCCTTGCAATAAGTTATTATTCCTTATAAGCAATGTGTTTTCTATCATTTATGTAGAACACTAACAACTGTACGGAAATATCATTTCCTTACAGTAAGGAAATGACATTTCCTTACAGTAAGGAAGTCCTGACTTTTTCTTCATGAAACTTTGACAGGAATGTCAAAATTTCCTGGCGATTTGCAGAAAATGTATTTTTTTGACTATTTAATTAAAAGCTTACCTGTTCTTTATCCTCTTGAGTTTTAGGATGAAGCGTCACAGCCAAAATGATTTCTCCCAACGAAGCGTCCGGCCTTGATGGATCCTGCAAAGCTAGGGATAACTCTGCTGTTTTCGCCAATTCCAATGTGGTGAGATCCAAAGTAGCTGATCCCATAAAATCATCCTTAAAGCAAAACAGGTATATGAGTTATTAATAAAGTGCTTGCATTTAATTCACAATTATTTATAAACATAAGAAATGCATTTATATTTAATCTAGAGAAAAATGTCTATTAGTTTTTATTTATTCGAATATTGGAAAGTTGCCGTATAATATTTAAAATTACTTTCTTTTGTAGGTATTTCCTTTCTATTAAAGACATATATATTACAATCATTTAAAAACGGTATTACTACAAGTTTACAAAAGACTTAATTACCTCCAAATTATTCAAACTGTTGAGAACAATAGCTTAATCTTTAAAAAAGATGACATTGGACAAGGGCTATTAGCCTTATCAATCAATCATTGTTTTAGTATTGTATTGAAAAAAAAATTAAATTGTTTAAATATAATATAATGTTATACCATTATTATAAGTACTCAAAATAATATTACAGATGTTAAAATAGTAGTTTACCGCAATCTAATTTATAATACATTACTTCTTCAGATATAAGTTTAATATTTTTTTGAAAACGAAACACATTTTGATCTATCTAATCTAGAAGACAAAAACAAAATGCGAGACTACAGAAGGATTTCAAATAATTTGTTTTAAATACTTTTAATAAAGAGTTATAAACAAGTGCCCCGAATTTAAAATTATTGTGATAACTCTTAAGAAAATTTAAAGAGTACTCCATCAAGTCAAAAAATAAATCAAAAAATTGTAACAAAAAAAAAATAATAAAAAAGCCCCTTAACACCCAACAAAAGTAGTCTTTAGGTTAAGTTAGTATATTGTATGACCTCCACGGTTGTTGACTACTGTTCTACAGTGTCCTACATCTGTAAGGCAAACTCATGATCAGATGGTCAATGCCTTGCTGAGATATTCTGTTCCAATCCATTAAAAGGCTCTCAGACAGTTGTTGCCTTGTATTACACAATATTTTTTTATAAAATGCATCTGCGCGATATGTCCTATATATGCTCAATTGGGTTTAAATCTGGCTATTGTGCAGACCATAGTATAACCTTAATTTCATTATCTTCGAGGAACATTCGCACGACTTTGGCACTAAGATAGAAGATAAATAGAATGCGGACGCGGATTCTATCTATCTATCTAATTAGCCTTCTTCGGTCCATCTTTGGACATAGGCCTCCCCAATCATTTTCCATTCTTCTCTGTCTGTCGCTACAGTCATCCATATAGAGCCCACGTGCTTCTTGATATCATCTGCCCATCTCATTTGGGGCCTTCCTCTGCTTCGTTTATATTCCCACGGTCTCCAACTTATAAGAATTTTGTTCCATCGGTCTTCTTTTTGTCTTATATTGTGTCCGGCAAATCTCCATTTCAATTTTGCAACTTTTTGTCTAACATCCCTCACTTTTGTTTTCTCTCTTATCCACTCGTTTCTCTTCTTATCCATTAGTCTTATGTGCAACATTTGTCTTTCCATTGCTCTTTGGGTTTTTATGATTTTGTCCATGTTTGCTTTTGTAGATGTCCACGTTTGGAAACCATAAGTAAGAACAGAGAGTACGCATTGATTATATACTTTGGTCTTAAGATGCTGTGGATATCTGTTTGTTTTTAAGAATGTAGCTTAGTTTGCCAAATGCCGCCCATGCCAGTCTAACTTGTCTCTTGATCTCTGCTGTTTGGTTCTCTTTGTTAAGTTTTATAGTTTGACCAAGATATATATATATATATATATATATATATATATATATATAATCCTTAACTTGTTCTATTTCATCTTGTCCGATTCTCATTGTGATGTCTTCATCTGTATTTGTTAAAGTTTTGGTCTTGCTGTAATTCATATTAAGGCCTATCTTTCCAGCTTCTACGTCCAGTTCTTTCATCATTTCAAATAATTCTTCTTTTTTATCGGTTATCAATACGATGTCACCAGCGTACCTTAGATGGTTCAAGCGTTGTCCACAAATTTTTATACCTTTTTTTTTCCCCATTCTAATCTTTTAAAAGTATCTTCAAGAGCCTGATTAAAAAGTTTCGGTGATATTGTATCACCCTATCTCACGCCTCTACTTATTTGTAATGATTTTGTTCGTTCATATACTTTAATTGTTGTTTTGGCTTCCTTATATATATTGGTTATTAGTTCCGTATATCTGTGGTCAATTCGGCTGTTAATCAAAGAACTTTTCACTGCCCAATGTTCGACACTGTCGAAAGCCTTTTCGAAATCTATGAACGCCATATATAGAGGAATGTGGTATTTATTTGCTCGTTCTATAAGTATTTTCATACTTAGTAAATGGTCACTTGTGCTGAATCCCTTTCTAAAACCAGCTTGTTCTTTCGACTGGTATCCATCGAATTTTGTCGTCAATCTATTGGTTAAAATTTTTGTTAGGAGTTTATACATTACATTGAGGAGTGTTATAGGACGGTAGTTTTTTATATCTGCTTTATCTCCTTTCTTGTCTAGCATAATGGTTACTGATTCCTTCCAGTTGTTTGGGATTCTTTTTTCTTTTAATATCTTGTTAAAAAGGAAATGTAGAGTAATAATTACCACTTTTCCACCATATTTCAGCATCTCTGCAGTTATTCCATCTTTTTCAGGCGATTTGTTGTTTTTCATTTCTTTCAATGCCTTCTTTATTTCTGATTTGCTTATTTCGGGCTGCAGCTCTGAGTTGACATTTTTTATTTTGACCTTAAGTTGGTTTTTTATTTCCTCTGGTGGTTTCTTTTTTGTTTTATATAATTCTGAGTAGAAATGGTGGATTATATTTATGATGTCATCTTTAACATTTGTTTCTATTCCATTTACATATTTTATTTTGTTTATTTCAAACTTACCTAATTTTGGCCTTAAGCATTTCATATTTTGGTTGTTTTGTATTACTTCTTCTATTATCATGCATTAATTGAAATTATGGACCAGCTTGTTGTGCAAAGGGTGCAACAATAAGTTTGAGAATAATATTGAGGTAGTCTGTTGCATAGAAAGATGTTCAAGACAAATGAGACTGGTTCTTTCACCAAGAGTAATGCCACACCATACTATTATACTGCCGCCTTGCTGTCTATAAACCTCCTGGATGATAGGCAATCGTTTAGCATTACCAGATCGTCTCCAAATTCTTGTCCGTCTTGTATCTGGTGCAAATGCAGGTCGATAATAATTTGTAAACAAAGTAGAGGCCCACTCACGTTTAAATCAATTTACGTGTTCTTGTGTCCATTGAAGTGATTTTCAGTGAAAATCACTAAGTTACTATTTAGACAATCTGGATAACATAGGCACTATTTCAGTGCCTATGTTATCCAGAGAAAATTACGATGGGCGTGATTTCGAGGGGTGGTATTAATTTGTAGCATAGTTACAACATTAGATATAGGTATAAAGTTTTTTGCACACCTACTGCTTTTCTCGTCAAGTATAAATGCCACTCCGTTAAAATGATGAAAATCGTCATTGCCAGCATAGTATATCACATAGTTATCGATATTTGTCTATCCAGATTCAGACCACCTAACTTCACTGACTCTGAGAATGTTGGCTCCACTTTTTTTCTCTAACGATGTTATGATATTTTCCTGGCATAAAGAGAGATTTAGTATTCCAAGTTCCAATTGTAAACATGTCATATTTGTTTTCCACTTTCGGGTGGTTCCTAGCATTTATAACGTGGAGATTCTTATCACCTCTTGACCATTTAAGGCCTGCCACGGCCTAGGGGTCTTTTGTTTTCTATAACTTACCAAAGACATAATATCTTGAGAATATTTAGCGTATTGGTTTCTCCTTGCCTTACACACTAGTATTACAACCGATTAAACCGGCCAACCGATTATAGAACGATTTTACAATAAAATTGTAAAATGCTAGTTTTTAATCAATGCTACAGTAAAGCTCGTTGGGTAGCTGCCATAGTTCTTTCGGATCTCATATTTTGTATTACAATATTTTGTCTCCTCCTTTCTTCTTATGTCTTTCTCGTATTCTTACTTAGTCCAAACTTACTGTCTGTAAATAATGTTGTGTGGAATAAAAAGTCTTTTTGTTCCATTTTATATCTCGTATTCTTATTAAGTAACCGTACAAGAAATGGTCTCGTTTTATTAATATGAAAATAAAATCATCATCATCATCACTGGCTCGACAACCCTTTCTGGGTCTTGGCCTGTTCAAGGATTCTTCTCCATTCTGACCTGTTTCGTGCTTTTTTTCCAGTTTTTAATTTTTAATGTTGTTATATCATTTTCTATTTGTTCTACGTATCTCAGCTTCGGTCTTCCTCTTGTTCTTTTACCTACTGGCACTTGTTTGAATATTTTGTTTGGTATTTCGCCTTCTTCCATTCTTTCCACATGTCCAATCCAACGTAGCCTTCCTATTTTAATGAATGTTATGATATCCGGATCCTGGTATATGTTGTATAGTTCAAAGTTATACCTTCTCCGCCAAATCCCATTTTCCTTTGTGCCCTTATATATGTGTCGCAAGATTTTTCTTTTAAAGGTGGCCAATAACGTTTCCTCCCTTTTAGAGAGTGTCCAGGTTTCTGAACCGTATGTGAGTACCGGTCTTATTAAGGTTTTGTATATTTGGCATTTTGTTTTTCTGGAGACGTTATCTGATCTTGGTTGCCTAATTAAGCCATGGTAACATTTATTGGCAATAAATATTCTCCTCTTCACTTCCTCTGCAACGTTGTTATCAGACGTAACTAGGGATCCTAAGTATGTAAAGTTTTTTACCGCCTCAATGTTGTATTCTCCTATTGTTAAATTTGGCAGCTGGTTTATTTGTGCGTTTTTATTTGCAGGCATATATTTTGTTTTTGTCTGATTGATTTTAAGACCACTATTTTTTGCAGCTCGTTCTATTTGAGTGAATGCCTCTATCATTTCTCTTCTTGATCTTGCGATTATGTCAACATCATCTGCAAATGCTAATACTTGCACGCTTTTATTAATTATTGTTCCTCGGGTATTAACTGTTGTGTCTCTTATTATTTTTTCAAGTATGATGTTGAATAATATGCATGATAGAGCGCTCCCTGGCGTAGTCCCTTCTTCACATCTATTGTTTCCGTTAGTTCGTTTTGTATCCAGATTTTACTTTCTACTTTTAGTGTTTCTTTTATCAATTCTATTAGCTGTGTTGGTATATTAAATTCTTTCATTGCTTTTGTTAGGAATTCTCGGTTTATATTGTCATATGCGCTTTCGAAGTCTATGAAGAGATGATATGTGTCGATGTTATATTCACTTGTTTTTTCAAGGATCTGTCGCAGAACAAATATCTGGTCTATTGTTGACTTCTGTCTACAGAAGCCACATTGGTATTTGCCAACTATTTTTTCAGCGTATGGTCTAAGTCTTTCATACATTACGTTGGACATTATTTTGTATGCCGCATTCAACAGCGTGATTCCACGGTAGTTTTCACAGTTTTATGAAAATAAAATACTTGATTAAAAATTTACTTACTTGCAGGCCCCAATCATAATCGAAAACCTTTATTCCAATAGGAACAAAAGGGTCTTCTATAGGCACCGTAAAGCTTTCGTCCCAAATAGGGTTTAAATCTCTATATACAGTTCTGGATTTATACACTAATCTTCCACCACATTTGAATTTTACGTAAGGATCGCTCAAACCTGCAAAAGAGAGAAATATGTTTAATTTTTTGTACGTTTGGAGATTTTGGAGGCACAAAATACAACATAATATGGTAAATTTCGTTAAAGTTTTTAAATATTGATTTGATTTATTTTAATAAAATTATTAAAGATCTTTGTTAATTTCAGAACAGAACGTATGGTAACATAATATTTTAGTACATTTGGTTCAAGATTTTAGCGGAGCTTTTTTCATCATCGTCTTCTCCTGCCATGTTGCCACGGTATTTACTGATAATTATGGTAAGATAATCTCTGAAACCGAGAAATAAACTCAATATGAACAGCAATATAATATGTCTATAGAAAACAATAAGAAGAAAAAAGACTCTTTGAGAATTTGATTATTTGAGTATTTAAGCCTGAAAAAATATGACTTTTTTAAAAAGATCGCTGTGTTGACGTTATAAAGAATTGAATGTTACAAAGAATTTCTAATTAATTTCATGAAAGTCCACCGTTTTCAGAGTATTTACAAAAGTTTTATACCTTTTGTCTACCTGGAATAAAACACGCTCAAAATTTTATACGAGTTATAATGGACAAAAGGATTGTCATGACCTTCTCGTTAAAAACAGAATGTACAGACATAATACAACGATAGCGTAAAACTGAAATTAAAAAAGCGATAAAGAATAGATTTCAGGTTAAGTACATTTTTAACTTACTCTAAATTTTGTTGTTTTGTACCTGAAAATTCTGGTAATTAAACCAAACCAAAGTAAAATGTATGTCTTTAATAATGAAATTTGTTACATTTGTTATATTTGGAAAAACAACAAATTTATGGTTGTACATATTCGCAGAATTTTTTAAAATATTCTTCTTTAAAAACAAGTGGAAATCAAAACGTCAAACAATAGGTACAAATGTAATTTTCATTACAATCAATCGTGGCTTTGCCTGCCATACGCATTTTTCAAAAACTATCATGTGATGCCACACCACAAAAGTTATACAACTGACAAAGATTTTTAAGATTAGGCCATATCGGTCATATATAACTGACAAGATAACTGTTAAATACTCTTTTATCACTTAAGATTATGTGACGATATATAGATTGTTATGTGCGATTTTGTTGTGGTGCCCAATGAAACTTCGTTAAAAAATTGATAGCGCTCCAAGAAAAAATAATGAAAAATGAAAACAAAAAAATTTTTTTTAGCCATTTATTTTATTGATTATGAATATTTTTAAAGCATTTAATGCACATATAGGGTTGATCAGGCAACTACAGCAATAAGTCATTAGTTTTTTGCCTTCTTTCTGGCTTTCGATTTTCTTAGAGTACCAATCAAATTATTGTAACAAGACTTGCCAATACGATAAATTTTTTTGTCGTTTGTGTCTTTGATTAATGCATGCCCTGTTTTTCATAGGCTTTTCTCTTTCCTCTATGTCTAACATTTATTGAACCAGCTGTTCTCTAAAACTTCGTATTTCTATATTCTTTTTCTTTTTATCTGAAACCATTTTCATTACCAGTTAAGCATTAACTACACTACGGTCAAGGCCATCTTCCTGAACCAATGTACCCAAATTTTCCATTTTCACCCTCTCTACTTACAGATTCACCTTTCTTCAGTTTTTTCATTATAATTTCTTATGGAAAATGTTTTGTTGTGGTCATTTATTATTGAGTATTATTGGGAATATATTGACGAAAAATTTGTCTTCAATAGCAAAGTTCTCAACCGGGGTGTACACATAATGATATTATGAATACATCAACCAGCTAAACTAAAAATTATCAAACTAGATGTTGCTTCTGCTTTACTATCACTCCCAGCTCAAAGACGTGATCAAGTAGTCCTCAACAGATTGCAGTTAGGAAATACAAAATTCACACATGGATACATCATTTCCAAAGACCCTCGGCCGCTGTATTACAACTGCCAAATACCATTTTCAGTACAACATATAATAATAGACTGTAAGTGTATTCAACAGCAGCAAAAAACAATCCAACCTAAAAGAAGCTTTAATAGAAGACAGTAGTAAAACAATAAAATATCTTAAAAATTGTAAATTGTATAACAAATTGTAAAATTTCAGAACGTACTTTTAAAAACTGCTATGTAAATATGTTATGTAAATATGTCATGTAAAAACTATTTCTAAAATACAAATAAACCACCCGCTAATAACCCTATTATAGGGGTTGATGCGGTAAAAAAATGAAAATTTTAATACAATAGTACATTGTTTACCGAGTAGGAAAAGCTTAACATTCCTGGACGACTGTGAAGATTGCCAAGTCGAGGCGCAAGCCGAGACTTAGCAACACAGAGTCCAGGAATGTGGCTTTTCCTACGAGGTAAACATACTATTTTTCCGCAAATCGTTTAAAATTCGACAGATATTGATTGATTTAAAAAAAACGCGATAATTTTATTCCCAAATAAATGGTGCTTTGAAATTCCTAATAAAATTACTTGGGTTACTATGGAAACGTATTGAGGTTGAATTGTCAAACTTGACGCTTATAAATTTAATTTATGTAGAACACTAACAACTACGGAAATATCATTTCCTTGCAGTAAGGAAATGACATTTCCTTACAGTAAGGAAGTCCTGACTTTTTCTTCAAGAAATTTTGACAGGAATGTCAAAATTTCCTGGCGATTTGCGGAAAAATAGCATTGTTCTACAAATATCACGAAATATGAAAAATGCTTCCTACTGCATTAAAAACTTTGCAATGGATTGTGTATTTTAGTATCATTTATTTTGTAATATTGACAATTTATGTTATTACAGTAATTTTTAAATTGTGTTTGTTATTTTTTTGACTTTTTGTAAGCTTTGTCCATAAAATCGTACGATTTTCAGTGACAGCAAAGCATATTTCTATTCTATTCTCCAAATTACGGCCGTGAATGACTTAATTTAATCCCAAGCACAAAGCAAACTATTAATCATGCATTACTTGAATTGAGTGGACAACAACACATAATACAAAGCCCAATCCAGACGATAGACCATAAATTCATCATGTCTGTAAAAATCCATAATCCAAATTAAGCATCAAACTTAAAAATCGTTTACCGGACGCGCTGATACCAAGTCACGTCAAGTAATAAAGGGAGCGGTGGATGAGAATAGATACATTCGTCAAAATCTATCCTGGCAGGCGTCTATAAAATTAAGACTGAATGAAATATTGCGAATAGTCGCTGAAAATTCAGAGTTCAGATGACGAATTGTTTACACTCAACGACATCGGATTTATGTAGCAGAAAAATGTTTTTATATTATAACAAAATAGCTTAAACATTTGGATACCAGTTACACGTTTCTTTTTAAAAGATGCAAGCAAATTATTCTTCTTCTTAATGTGTTGTACTCAAACTTAAGCCTAGGGAACGACTTCGCATCATTCTTCTTCTTCCAGTTCCGCTCCTATCGAAGATTCGAAATTATTCTGGCAATTATAATTTTGTTGGTTGACAGTTTAACTGAACTACATTCAAAACATTCACGTAGATTGCATAGCCACGAGATTTTACATCTTCCTATGGTTCTTTTGCCTTTGATTTTACCCTGCATTATATTCCTTCGTCTAATTTGAGTTAAATCTTCGATCAAAGTTTGGAAACCATCATAGCTATGCGAATCCTGTTCTTAAGCCACGATATTTTTCGTCTTCCCACATTTAGGTTTCCTCGAAGTACACAAAAAGTAGTACCAAATATTTTTGATCAAAATTACCTCTTACTTACCAAAATTGAAGCCCAGAGGTAAGAATGAGATATGTTTTTAGAAAATGCGTGGCATTTTCGTCTCTAACGACACTGTACTACAAGAAGAATTATGGACTTATAATAACCTATCACACAAGAGATTTGTTTTGGCTGCACCACACATGAGCTCGTTAAATGATCTGTAAATAAGGTTAATATAACATCAATGCGTTTAGTCATAGACAGAAGGGAAAAAAGAAAAAGAAGCCGTTTTCTTATAGTTATCTTTCGACGAATATTTTGTTTTCTAAATTTAAGAAATAGTTTAAAAAAGCTTTTCTATATAAAAAACTTACCGTCTTACTACATATTACCATTCCATGTAATACATACTAAATAGAATAGTTTGGAAAATCGTCAAATAATTTCTAACTTTCTATATTAGTTAGAGTTTTTTAACGCTTGAACCTTGATATTATAAAAACATCATTAAAAGAAGAAAATAGCATCATACAACAAGTCCAACGTAAATTTTGATTACCTGCTTTTTCTATTTTTCATAATTGTGGGTAATTATGAGTTTTTAAAACAATTGCTGATTGATAAGATCACTTTCAAGTACCTGCTATTGTTGAAAAATAATTTTGGAAAACTTTCACCGGTGGTGGGATTTCCAAACGTATCCAAAATTTTTTACCTGTTATGGTAACCGCCCTAACTTTCTTTTTCAAATTAATAAAATTTTCATTTGCAGCATAACTTTTGAAACGTTCAGAAGTCTACTAGTGAATTTTTTAGAACTTCAATTGTGGTGCGTGGATTTTTTTACGAATTATAAAAATCTAAGTAGTTACATTTTTTGTACGTGATTTTAACTGTGTTATTGGTTAATTTTCTTTAACTCGTGAATTGTTATATCGTTCTTTCTTTTAACATGGAAGATCATTGCTATGCTCAGGTTGTATACGATCCTGATTTTAGAGATAGATCTAATACGTGGCCAAGAAATTGTATATCCAATGAGTATAATCAGTCCGACAGTTCTCAACAAACTGAAGAAAAGTCTTCAACGGATACTTCTAATACAGGATTACGTATGTATACTTTTTTTATTAATTTTGTTTTTGAATAAATTTTATACTGTTCTGAAGCTATTTGCTTGTGGCATTTTATAGTAATTTCTATTTAAATGGGGAATATTTCAATTTAAATACAAACATCAGTAAATTAAACAAATTTTGTTTTTTTGTTACTTGGTGAAAAATTCTTCTAATAATTTAATTTTATCTGACT